TCCTCCTCCCTCCTCCTCCTCTCTCTCTCTCTCTCTCTCTCTCTCTCTCTTTTCTCTTTTTGGCTATTTTTGTATTCTATGTAATAACTTTAAAATATATAATAATAGCAACGATCGATCAAAATTGACCTTCCTTTGTGTTCAAATTTCTATTCAAATATCTAAAGCGCTCATTCAAGCGTATGCATAATTTTGATAACGAACGTTGTAAATATGAATTTATAATATTAAGAGCGAAATTATAAAAATAATCAATTTTCCTTCTTCTTCTGATCTTCGAACATAGAGATAGATTTTTACGTATATTACACATGTGAAGAATTATTTATAAAAAGTAATTCGGATTAATTTAGGTATTTATTAGACATTTATCTACAGATGCGCGAAAAAGCGCAATATTTTCAGCAACGCATTTAGAATCGATAAGAAAAGGATTAATGCGAGAATAATTGTAAACGTCAGTGTCATGTAACAGCTTTCGATGAGTGTTTTTTCCTCACAATTTTTTTTAACGACATATCGTCACAATCCTCGAACTCGTCGTTGGATTCGAAATATATTCCACGTCGCATTGATTCCAGCGTCGGAAATATGATTCTGCTCTGGCACGTCTTTGCGAAACGAGCAATTCCGTTCCGCATATTACGAGCACGGAGTCTTCGCTCGACTTTCTCATTTCCCGAAAGTCGCCCGATGCAATTGGAAAACGGACGGGGAGTCGAGCGCATTGCCGGTCCTTTCGTCCGAATGCTAATCTAAGTTCGCAAGATCGTTCGACCCTTGGGAAAAAGTTGTCGAAACCTGGACACACGTATAACGCGTGTCTGGATACGGGTGGCATTCTCGTTTCGACGGAAAGAAATTGGACGTCCGGGTTCCAGCTGGAGAAAGAGGCGAAACGTAGACTTCGTGACGAAGCTGAAACTCTACTTCGAGAGGCCCCCGAAGCTCCCGCGTCTCGCATCGTCCCGACCTACATTCGACGGGCCACCGCGTTCGACAACAAGCTGCTCACGCGGTTAGTAACCGGGAATTGAAGCCGATATAACCGCGGCGAGATCAATTTTCGAAACTGCGGAATTTTGCTTCACAACTCGCTCCTCGTGGTTCACTTGGCACGAAAGATTGTTTTTCATGCCTTTGAAAATCTGACTTCCCCCTTCGTCTCGAGAAAGTGGAGCAAAAGGTAGAAATATCGATAACATGCTTTTTTTTTAACTAAACTTCACGTACTTTATTTGTTATTTGTAATTGAGATGAATAATATCTATATAATTTATTT